GGCATCTGCCCTCAGCTCCTGCCACCTCCCTCCGTGAGAACAGGGATTAGGACTGGCTGTCCCAGAGGCTGGGGACAGTACAGTGTGGGCTGCACAGCCAGCCATTTGAGGTGGGACTAGTCTGAACTGAATAGGTCAATGGGCTGAGCTGGCTTTAGACATAGACTTGAGAATCCAGAGAACCCCAGAGAATCCAGTGGGTGCTGGGCATACAGTGATCAGGCCTGTGTAGACAGACCTAGGCTGAGGAGAGGCTGGGCTGCAGTGGCCGGAGCAAGGCAGAGAGGCAGGGACAGGAGTGGGGATGGGTTTGGGCCCCGGTTCTTCAACCTGGGGAATCCTCCAACCTATGCTTCCATATGAAAGAATCACTGTGCAGCTGTGGGCACCGCCGCATCGGCTTGCCCCTCCACACAGCTGCCCTCGGCTCATGTTGGCTATGCTATAGCAGTCCTTCAGCATTTCCTGGGGATCCGTTAATTAAGTCGAGGTCTCTGCATCTGGAAATCCACCTCAGCCTTCAGGGAAAAGGCCCCTAGTCTTGGTCTCTGTCTTCAGAACCCCAAGACTCAAGGAGAATCCTGCTGATTCTCAGATTGGCCTCCAGGGGGCGACAGTGTCAATCACAATTACAGGCGTGAGCTGCCACGCCTGGCCACGTTCTTACTTGAATACCTGCACCTGTGCTTGGAGACCCTAGGGTGAGGGGAGTGGGGAACAGGAGAACCTGACAGTAGAGGGTGGATGTAAGGACAAGAGGCACAAGCTTGCTGGGCGATGGGGTGTTCCAGGGCTGGGGGTGCCTAGGGATCCGCCTCTCTCCCAGGCTGTGGAATTATCCTCCCCACACTCACTGCTTCTCTAACCTTGGCTATCTCCTCCTGTCTTTGGGGTGTCTGATGGGCCTGGGGGACCTCCCAACTGCTCTAGGTCATCTCACCGCAGCCATGTGCTCCATTTGGCATTGTTAAGGTTGCTGGAATATTATTGTCTTTCCAGAACCATCCTTGGGGCAAGATCAGGACCTCGGGCTGCCTGGGGCTGAGAGCCCTCCTGGGTCTTCCTGGGGCCCCTGGTCCACATGAGTACCCCCTAAGCCTGAGGGCCCTTTGAGAGGCAGCACTTCTAGCCTGCCCTTGGTTTTAGCTTTTGTTCCACGAAGATCTTGTGATTTCTGCCCCAGCATAGGGCAGCAGGAACCTCCAGCGCAGAGCCTGGGGCTAAGGAGACCACAAGGGACTTGTCCCAGGTCAGGCCTGCACTTGCCTTGCGTCAGGGTAACTCCCCAGGTTGCTGGCCTCCTCACGGCCCCCCACACTGACCTGTTGCCCCAGCTTTATCTCTGACACCCCAAACTTAGCAGCCCCGACCCCATTTCCCGAGCACCCCTGTGCCTGGCTCTGTGCCTGTGGTGGTGTCCTGGCAGCAGTCTGGGAGAGCACTTCAGTTACCCACTGTGTCCTGGGGAGGCTGGAGCAGAGGGGTCCACTCACTGATTGGCGCAGTCACAGACTTGAATCGTGCACGGAAGGCCCTGTGGCCTCGCATGAGCCTGGAAGGCCTCTCCCCTCCTGCTTCCACCCCTCCACCCGGGAGGCCAGCCTGCCCAGGGCTGCTCTGCCACTTAGCAGTTGTGTGGGCCTGCAGAGTCCCTAACCTCACTGAACCTCAGTTTCTCCGTTTGTGAAACGGAGATGGTACAAAGAGAACTTTCCTCCTCAGCTATTGCGATGGGTAAGGAAATAAATGCATGCACAATCACAGCCATAGTTACTATGGGACACACGGTCTTCCCAGCTGGAGGAGATTCTGGGGGTGGGGTGGGGGCTGGGGCGGTAAGATCACCACGTGTATGAAATCTCCAGGCAGGCTGGTTGGAGACGGACAGCACCGGGCTCAAACACTGCCATCTACCCTGCGATGGGACCCTCCTGTGGCAGTGGCAAAGGTCCCGCTGTGGAAATGACACATGAGCTGGGAGGACTTAACCTGAATTGAGCCACATGTGCCCTCCAGGCCTGGGCACCACACCTCCTGCCCCCAGTGTGACCCATGCAGGGCCTGCTCCTGACCCTGAGCAAGACTAGGATTCCCTGGGCTGCCTTTCCTATCTGTAAAATTGGAGGAGGGTGGTGGGAGGGGGGGCTTGAATTTGCCCCCTGGGTGGGGTGGGGCACAAATAGTCCCAGAGGATGGCCTGAGAAGTCCGGCTGGGCCTGGCATAGGGAATTTATTTACTGCTGTCATTATTGTCCTCCTTACAGGAGAGGAGAGCAAGGCCCAGACAGGGGAGGCATCTACACAGCCTCTGTGCTCCAGCCTGCTGGAAGGACGAGGTCTACAACGCAGAGATCAACACATCAGGGACAATGAAACACCCAAGTGTTAGCAGCCAGAATAATCAGCCCTAATACAGGGGAGGCTGGTCAGGGAGGGCTTCCTGAAGGAGGAGGCACAACACCAGGGTGCACTGTGATTTCTGGAGATCCCAGGAGTTCTCCTGGTAAATGACAGGTGAGAAAAAGAAAATGTAATAAAATATAATTGAAAACAGACCCTGGTACGTGTGGAGAGAGCGCCAGGAGGAACCTAGGAGACTGGGGAACCTGAACCCCCGAACCAGTGAAGGGAGCTATGGGCAGCAAGGTTTGATTGGCGTTTTCCTTCTTGCGGAGGCGACTCCGACTGATTCAAGTTCCCCACTCCGTTCCCAGATGGTTCCGAGACTTAGGAAAGAAAGGAAAAGAAAAAAGAACCGTACCCTGCGCTCGCCCCCGCTGGGCATCCCTAGGAGGTCGCGAGGATCCCCGGAGACTCAGACCCCGGCCCGGGGCTCCCCAGGCCAGAGCGGCCCCCGGCTGCCTCCCCACGCCCCGCGACTCCGGTCCGGAGGTCAAGGGCCCCGGCCTGTCCCCTGTTCCCCGGCTGCCCCACACCTGCTCCGGCCCGGCGGGGCGGTGCTGGGCTCCGCGGGCTCCCCGGCCGCAGTGCAGCCGCAGCGCCAGCCCCGCCCCGCCCGCGCCTCCCCGCCACCCCCCCCGCGCCCGCGGCCCCGAGCGTTTCCCGAGCCCAGGCCCGCGCCGAGCCCAGGTGAGCGCCCGCCCTGGGGACCCTGGCCCCTGGGACCCCGATCCCCGCCCCCCGCCCCGGCTCCTTCGCCCCGGCGGGCGCCGGGGGCCAGCGCTTGCGCTCGGGTCTCGGACCCGGGCCCGGCGCGTTAGGGGATGGGGGTCGGCAGCTGGGGCCAGAAACACTGGCTGGGGGCCGGAGCGCCCCGCGTCCTTCTGTCGTCCTACAACGGCCCCTTCCCGGCTTGCCGCAGGGCCCCACTGTGTGCCAGTCCCCCTTTCCGGGCTGCAAGGTCTGGCGGGGGCACCGGGACAGAGCTGGCTGCTGGGACTGGCTTCCCAGAGAGAGGGAACTGCACGTGCACAGGCGGGGAGAGTGGACAGAGGCTCGCGCCCGAGCTCTGGAGGGGCGGGGAGAGCGCGGAGCCCCCACACTCTAAGGCAGGACTGGGGTCAGATGCCATCCCCAGGACGCCTGGAAACTACTGGGAGCCTGATCTGGGCAGAAGCCCGGTCTGGGCAGGAGCCCTTGGGATGAAGCAGTGGGAGCGGGTGGGTGAGAAGTGGAGGAGTCGGAAGAGGACCCTGCCCAGCCTCGACCCCGGGGGCGCCAGGAGCCCTGGGAGGGTGGAGGGGAGCAGAAGCCACTCTGTGGGTGGGGGTAATCCAGTCCCGCTTCACAGGTCCCAGGGTCCCTAGGACAGACACAGACTCCTGCTGGGTGATTAACACTGTGCTCTGCTGGAACTTTTCCGCAGTGGGCAGCTCGTGGGCAAGGAACAGCGCACACAATGGCACTCGGCACAAACCCGAGGGCCCTCCTGCCCTGCCCCTGGCAAAGACCTTTGCCTTTGAGTGCGGTGACCGGGCTTCAAGCTGATCTAGCACACAGTAGGCTGAAGGCACAGGGGCCCTACCTAGTCTCCTTCCTGGTCTAGGCCCCGGGGGATACAGGCCCCCTGGGAACACGAGAAGGGACGGCACAGCCTGGGCCCCCAGTGGCAAGACCGGGTCCGACCTTTCCTGGGATCTGTGGCTTAGCAGCTGAGGACTGAGGTCAGGCAGGAAGGAAGTGGGCAGGGCTGAGCCAGGGGTGAATCCAGGACCTGGGGAGGGGCCACCTAGTGCCCAGGGAGGGGGCAGGTGGGGCTGGTGGCAACTGAGTTTTATAGACCTTCCTGACAAGTTACGGAAAGAGCCAGGGCACAGCTCAGTGGTTATGGGAGCCACCGCCTCCTCCCCTGTAATGGGCACCTTGCGGGCCGACAGGAACAACGGCCCCTCTCCAACCTGTCCTTTTGTTCCCACCCCTCGCTCTCAGGCACCCACCCACGGCCCTTCCTGGGATCTGGGCCAGACCAGGGGGGCCTCAGTCTCACCTCAAGTGAGACTTCAGGAAGAACTTCCAGGGGAAACTGGAGGATGGCAGTGGGATGGACGGTGGGGAGGTCATTTGTAAACAAGGCAGCTATGCCTGTGGCCTGGGCCTTCCGAAGTCCACCTGGGAGGCGCCCCCGGGACCTGGAAGGCACCTGGACTACAGTGAGCTCTCTGCTGTGCAGGCGCTCCCTCCCCCAGGGCACCTTGCTGGGCCTCAGGGTGATATGGGGGCTTTCTGGGCCCCTGCCCATCTTAAAACTCACTAAAGTGGGGAGGGTGGGAGGCCACAAGGATACCCCTACCTGCTGCTTGACCTCGATGAGACCTTTCCCCATCTGCTGTTGGGCATGACCTCAGCACCGCAGACCTGGGCTGGAGTCAGGGCTCGGGGGAGCTTTGGCTGCTGGCCAGCGGCGTGGCAGGGCTGTGCGCTTGGCTTCGCTTTCCCCTAACCCCATCGGGCCTGGGCTGGCCGCCCACTTCTGTTCACCGCAGAGCTGGGTTTCCCTGGGGACCAGTGGACTGGCCCAGCCCCACACCGCCCCCCAGCCCCTCCTGGCCACAGCTTGAGCTGGTAGGACGATGGAGGCTGGGCCGCCTCCTGGACCCCCGCCCTCCCTGCCCTGCCTTCCAAGGCCCAGCAGCCTCAGTCCGCTGCTGGGCCTGGAACAACGGAGCAGTGGCTGCCCTGTGAGGAGGTGGGTGTCCAGAGTGCTAGCCAGGGTGGGGCTGGACCAGGGGGAGTCTGATGTCACCCCCATTGTGGGAGGGAGAAGACCAAGGACGAGGAGGGCTTCAGCTTGCCCAGGGTGACCCACTGCTGGAGCCTAGGCACGGCGGTCTCCCGGGAGAACGGAGGGTCCCAGAACTCCCAGGCTGTGGGATTTGGAGAGGGGAAGGGAGGGCATGAGGAGGCAGCAGGAATCAGGGAGGATTTCCTGGGCAAGGCAGCTTCGGGGCTGGACTCAGGGTGGCCGAGGTTGGGGCAGAGGAACTCCACCGGGGGAGTGAGGGAGCTGAGCTTGGAGGGCTCCAAAGGGGAGGTGCCCTCCAGGGCCCCCTGCTCTGGGATCAGACTCCGCTACACGCCATGGTTCCCAGCTCAAATGTAAGATCGTTTCCGAAGCTCCCAGTCTCTCTTCATCTACCTCTGCCCGCACGCACGCCCCGGTCCTGACGGCCCCAGTTTCCCCTGCAGGTCCTAGAGCAGCTCCAGCAGGATGGCGGCTCCAGCATCTCTAAGGCCTGCAGGGGGTCCAGCCCCAGGGGGGGCGCCCTAGGCCTCCGACAGCTCCCCATCTGTGCTCCTGCCTGCCGGCCATCCTCAGGCCACTCGCCATGGGCGGCTGCTTCTCCAAGCCCAAACCAGGTACCTCCTGTCTTCTTGCCTCTGTCCCTCCTCCCTCCCTCCCTGCCTCCTCCCTCCTCTTTCCCCCTCCCCCTCTGCGCTCGGCAGTCCTCTGAAGTAGGTCAGGCTAGGCAGGAGCCCGCTCGGAATGTTAATACGCTGTGGCCAGGAGGGGGTAGGGGGCCTGGAGCAGTTCCCCCGGCTGGCCCCCGCTCCAGTGGGTGCCCCTTTTTCCTTGGGGCTTTGAGTGGTGGTGGTGGCGGAAATAACAGCAGGACCCTTCTTGGAAAAGGAGAGGAAGGGTTCCTCCTGCTGCAGGGTTGGGGAAGGGGCTCTGCCCCCAGGGCCAGGGAAGGGGGGGTCTGGAGACACCCTCAGACACTCTGTGACCTGGGGCATGCAACTTACCTGTCTGAGCCTCAGTTTTTCTCTCTGTAAAAGAGAAGGGCTGGCCACCCTGACCTCTCAGTGTTGCTGCGAGAGTGTAGTGGGCAGATCCTGGCCCGCTCCCTCTCCTCTGACCCCCTGTGGGGTCTCGGGCTGCCTTCTTGGCCTTTCTGGGCAACTTCCCCGTTTATACAGGAAATCGCCACCCAACCTAGCCTGTGCGGCTCCAGCCAGAAGTGGGAGTGTCGTGGGGCGCTGGGGAGGCCTGGCTCTGTTCCCCACTGAAGACTGTCTGTGGATTTCTCCCTCTGGCCCCCCCCACTTTCCTTCTTCTCCCCTCACAACACCCAGGGAGGCAGGAGTGTGCAGCTTTGTCACAGATGGAGAAACTGAGGTTTAGCGAGGCCGCAGGAGCCCAGCCAGTGCTCCACTCACCCCGCCAGGCCGCCCTGGCCGGCTCACCCCAGCTCCCCTTACCTGATACCCATCGGCTCCGTTACCTGGGAACTTGCGAGCCTTTTCTCCTTTTCCTGGGTCTAAGGGAGAACTTGGGGGAGGGAGGGGAGCTGTGATGACCCACCTGGCAGAGGGACCCACCTGCCCCTTCTCCAGGAAGCCACTTTTCCTCCCCTGGCTCCTGTGGACACCCAGGCCTGGGATGGATCCCTCCCTGCCTCAAAATGCGCCTTGGGCAGATGACGTCCATTGTCTCCCCTTAGAAGTGGGTGGGATGAAGCCAGCTGGCCTCATACCAGGCGTGTCTGTGGCACTGCTGGGCTGGCAGGAGGCTCTGGCAGAAGATGCCACCTGCAGGTTCTTTTAAAGGACCCCAAAGGGCTGGCCTGCCTGGGACCCGTGGCCCCGGGACCCAAAGGTAGTGCTAAGACCTTAGGCAAATCCAGCCCTGTCCTTTCCCGGCTGTGTGGCCTTGGGCAGGTAATCTCACCTCTCTGAGCCTCTGCGTCCTCATTGTAAAGTGGGGCTGTTGTGCCTAGCATGGGGCCTGCACATGAGAAGCACTTGTGGGATACTGTTATCCCTTCTTCCCTGAGCTGGGCTCTGTGCCACCAGGACTCCCCTGCGGGGCTGGAGCCAGAGGCTCAGGGCCCGGGTGCCCATGCTGGGCAGGTCAGGCATGAGGCTTAGAGAATTTCCAGATGTGGGAGTAACAGTGTTTGGGGAGTGAGGGTTCAGCTGAGGTCATAAGGGGCCGCAGAGAGACCAGAGCAAGCAGAAGACCTCTGTGCAAATCCTTCACTTTCTCTCTTGCTCCACTCAGTTCTGTGGCTCCATGTGGATCAGTACCTGCTTCCTGGGCTCACTCTGTGTTCCTACGTGTTCTGTCTGAGTTCTTGATAAGAAGATATCGGCTGGGCACAGTGGCTCGCGCCTGTAATCCCAGCACTTTGGGAGGCTAAGGCAGGTGGATCACAAAGTCAGGAGTTCAAGACCAGCCTGGGCAACACAGTGAAACCCCATCTCTACTAAAATACAAAAAATTAGCTGGGCATGGTGGCTGGCACCTGGAATCCCAGCTACTCAGGAGACTGAGGTGGGAGAATCTCTTGAACCCAGGAGACAGAGGTTGCAGTGAGCTGAGATTGCGCCACTGCGCTCCAGCTTGGGCAAGAGAGCAAGAGTCCATCTCAAAACAAAAACAAAAACAAAAACAAAAACCCAAAAAAACACAAGGATAGGAAGATATCAGGCCAGTCCCTCACCTAGCTCAGAGTTAGGAGGAAGTGCAGCTCTCTTAGCATCTGTTAATCTGCCTTTTATTAGGCCGCAACTGCTCCCTGAAGGCTTTCCATCCTCATCAGGGCTGCTAGGCTCAGAGCTGCCTCCCAACTCCATCTATTGAGCTTCTACTCTGGGTTACATACATTATTTCCTTCAGCATTCACGATGCCAACGAGGTAGGCATTTGCTCTTCTCCCTGTTTTGTTTTTATTTTATTTTATTTTATTTATTTATTTATTTTTGAGACGGAGTTTCGCTCTTGTTACCCAGGCTGGAGTGCAATGGCGCGATCTCGGCTCACCGCAACCTCCACCTCCTGGGTTCAGGCAATTCTCCTGCCTCAGCCTCCTGAGTAGCTGGGATTACAGGCACGAGCCACCATGCCCAGCTAATTTTTTTGTATTTTTAGTAGAGACGGAGTTTCACCATGTTGACCAGGATGGTCTCGATCTCTTGACCTCGTGATCCACCCGCCTCGGCCTCCCAAAGTGCTGGGATTACAGGCTTGAGCCACCTCGCCCGGCCTTTATTTTTATTTTTTGAGATGAGGTCTCATTCTGTTGCCCAGGCTAGAGTAAAGTTGCACAACCATAGCTCACAGCAGCCTGGAACTCTTGGGCTCGTGATCCTCCCACCTCAGCCTCCTGAGTAATAGGGACTGCACGACCACGACTGGCAATGTTTTTTTTTTTTTTTCGAGATTGAGTCTCACTCTTTCACTCAGGCTGGAGTACAGTGGCACAATCTCAGCTCACTGCAACCTCTGCCTCCTGGATTCAAGCGATTCTCCTGCCTCAGCCTCCTAAGTAGCTGGGATTACAAGCCCATGCCACCATGACCAGCTAATTTTTATATTTTTAGGAGAGACAGGGTTTTGCCATGTTGGCCAGGTTGGTCTCGAACTCCTGACTTCAAGTGATCTGCCTGCCTCGGCCTCTCAAAGTGCTGGGATTTCAGGAGTGAGCTATCATTCCCAGCCAGCTGGCACATTTTTTTTTTTTTTTTTTTTTTTTTGAGACAGAGTTTCGCTCTTGTTACCCAGGCTGGAGTGCAATGGCGCGATCTCGGCTCACCGCAACCTCCGCCTCCTGGGTTCAGGCAATTCTCCTGCCTCAGCCTCCTGAGTAGCTGGGATTACAGGCACGTGCCACCATGCCCAGCTAATTTTTTGTATTTTTAGTAGAGACGGGGTTTCACCATGTTGACCAGGATGGTCTCGATCTCTTGACCTCGTGATCCACCCGCCTCGGCCTCCCAAAGTGCTGGGATTACAGGCTTGAGCCACCGCGCCCGGGCCAGCTGGCACATTTTAAATTTTTTTTATAGAGACTAGGTCTTGCCCTGTTGCCCAGGCTCGTCTTAAACTCCTGGGCTCAAGTGATCCTCCTGCCTTGGCCTCCCAAAGTGTCGGGATTCCAGGTATGAACCACCACACCTGGCCTTCTCTCCATTTTATAATAAAGGCATCTTGAGGTCCAAAGGGGCTAAGGCAGGACTATGGGCAGCCGGAAGTCATGGAGCTGGGGCTGATCCCATTTTGTGGGTGAGCAGAGACGCCCCTCCCATCCACCTTTCCAAAGGGCCCCTGATTTAATGGCTTCCGTTAGACTGTATCAGTGAGCAGGCTTGGAGCCTTCTGGGAGGTGGAGGATGAGAGAGGCCTGGCTTGGCCTTATCTGGCCCCCCTGCCAGGCTATTCGTGAGCTCCCACAGAGTCCAGAGCTGGTGTCAGCTAAGTCCACAGTATTTCTCTTTTTAATTCTTCCAAAAACATTCTAACACCATTACATAAAGCATAGCAAATGGAATGAAAAACCCCACCCATAACCCCCCATCCGATATGACCAGCTCAGTGTGGTTACGTGCTCTGCCCCCTCCCTGCCGGGCTGGAGTCAAGGAACTGACCTTTGCCCCTGTCCCCTGCTGTGCCTGGGCCTTAGCTGGGGCCTGGGACTTGGGGTTGGGGAGGGCGCCTGACCAGGTTGGGGGATTAGCAGAACATGAGATGAGGGATATGCAGGGGCCGGGCAGCCAGGAGAGGCAACTCCTGAGCTTTGTCTGGGTAGATGGGAAGGATGGCGCCCCAGCCCAGGGGACAGACCAGGTAAAGGGCTGGAGGGGCAGCTCAGCAGCCTCTCTGGGTTCTTGGTTTCTGGAGTGACGGGTCTGAATGAGGTGGTGGGGATGAGAGGTGAAGCCCGGAGGCCCTGGTGCCTTGGGAGGTGAGAGAGGGATCTCCTGCTCCGGCCTCGGGCCCCAGCTGTGCCAGGGGCTTAGCGTCCACCACTCAGCATCCTCCCTGCAGCAGCAGCCTGGGGGGCCAGATTATTGCTGCTAAAAATTCTGTTTATTGTTCTCTTCTAATTAGAAAAATATCCCCGGCACATCCTAGGGAATTTGGAGAATGTGGAAAAGTACAAAGAAGAAAATGGCCATCTCTGGCTCACTCCCTGCTACAGCTGGCCTCTGGATGGAGGCTGTGGGGGGCTTGTGTCCCCTCTGTGCCATCCACATGCATTCCCATGCTGGGGTTCACCCCCAGGGCACACGAGGACACTGAAAACCCAGCACCTGGTCAGTGATGAAGGATTCTCAAATTGGTGAGAAGAGCTATTTTAAGAAGTTGAAATTGGGCAGGGCGTGGTGGCTCACGCCCATAATCCCAGCACTTTGGGAGGCTGAGGTGGGTAGATTACCTGAGGGTGGAAGTTCAAGACCAGGCTGACCAACATGGAGAAATCCCATTTCTACTAAAAATATAAAATTAGCTGGGTGTGTTGGCACATGCCTGTAATCCCAGCTACTTGGGAGGCTGAGGCAGGGGAATAGCTTGAACCCGGGAGGCAGAGGTTGCAGTGAGCTGAGATGGTGCCACTGGACTTCAGCCTGGGCAACAAGAGTGAAACTCTGTCCAAAAAAGAAAAAAAAAAAAAAAAAGAAGTTGAAATTATGCTGTGTACATTTTTTTTTAATTTTTGAAAAAAATTTAAATGTATGGGAAAGTTGTAAGAATAGACAATGAATCCTTGACTTCCTGTCATCCAGATTCGCTCGCTGGGAACTGAGCTGCTGCCACTTTTGAATCCCTGTATGCACATGAGTCATACCCTAAATGTGTCCCTGAGCTGTCACATCGTCATTGTCCACTGGAAGATCCAGGACTTTCAGGCCTCAGGGTTCTTTTTGCTGCAGAGATTTCTGCAGCCAGGAGCATTTCAGGGTCGGAGGAACTTAGCTCTGTGCCCTGCTTCACTAATACTGTAATTGAAAAAGGAAGCCAGTAATCCCAGCACTTTGGGAGACTAAGGTGGGCAGATCACTTGAGGTCAGGAGTTTGAGAGCTGCCCAGCCAACATGTTGAAACCCTGTCTCTATCAAAAAATACAAAAATTACCCTGGCGTGGTGCATTCACCTGTAGTCCTAGCTACTGGGGAGGCTGAGGTGGGAGAAGTGCTTGAACTCAGGAGGCGGAGGCTGCAGTGAGCCGAGATTGCATGACCGCACTGCAGCTGGGCGACAGACTGAGACCCTGTCCCAAAAATAATAAAAAAAAGACATGCAGAAAGGAATTCATGCAAACCCGGGTGCACCCGCACCATGCCCCTCCTCTGCTTTATGCCAGGTTTAATGCTCTTTGCTGGTGGTGCAGAGGGGAGGGCCTTCTGGGGAGGTTGCCAGGCAGGGCTGAGCCTCCCGGCACCGTGAGGAGCTGGGCTCTGCATCCAGCTCGTGGGATGGGGGAGGAAGTGGGCCGAGCTGGGGGACTCAAGGCACTGTCCTGCCCACAGTGGAGCTCAAGATCGAGGTGGTGCTGCCTGAGAAGGAGCGAGGCAAGGAGGAGCTGTCGGCCAGTGGGAAGGGCAGCCCCAGGGCCTACCAGGGCAATGGCACCGCCCGCCACTTCCACACGGAGGAGCGCCTGCCCACCCCTCACCCCTACCCCAGCCCTCAGGACTGCGTGGAGGCTGCTGTGTGCCACGTCAAGGACCTCGAGAATGGCCAGTGGGTTCCGGGCCTGCCTGGGCGCGGGGTCAGGGAAGCGAAAGTGGGAGGGTGAGGCGCAGGCCACAGCCCGGGGACAGGGGGTGGCCTGAAGGCTCCTGCGCTGGTCACTGCCTCTGTGGCCTCTACCGGTCTGGGGCTGCTCCCCAGAAGGCTCAACACTGGGAGGAGCTGCCAGGAGGTTGTGCCTGGGGTCTGACCTGTCCTCTGAGTGTTGCGGTTCCCCAGGATGCGGGAAGTGGAGCTGGGCTGGGGGAAGGTGTTGCTGGTGAAGGACAATGGAGAGTTCCACGCCCTGGGCCACAAGTGTCCACACTACGGAGCACCCCTGGTGAAAGGTGAGCTGTTAGGTGGGAGGCATGAAGGGGACCTTCCAGGCCCCATGCCAGCCTGGCTCCTCCCCAGGCCCCAGGATCTTCCTCTATCAGAGAAGCCTCCTGGGCTGTGGGGAGGGGCCCGCAGTTGCGGGGGCACAAGGATCCTCGGGAAGCAACCCCTGCTGGTGGCCCCAGCCTAGCACCTCCCCTTCCCAGGAGTTCTGTCCCGTGGTCGGGTGCGCTGCCCCTGGCATGGCGCCTGCTTCAACATCAGCACTGGGGACCTGGAGGACTTCCCCGGCCTGGACAGTCTGCACAAGTTCCAGGTGGGGCCAGGAGTGCAGTGGGGCGGGAATCTGGGGTGTAGGGCTCGGGGCTGGTCCTGAGCAATGCAGCTCTTGCAGGTGAAGATTGAGAAGGAGAAGGTGTACGTCCGGGCCAGCAAGCAGGTGAGGGGGTGGCTCGGGCCTCAGGTAGAAGGAAGGAGCGGGGAGGGCATCTTGGCTCAGAGAATACCACATGCAAAAGCCCTGTGGTGGGAGGAGCTTGGCACGTATCATTGGAGCGGAGTGAGGGGTTGTGGTGGGGATGAGGCTGGGCTGGACTCCAGGACTTGCCTGCCAGGATGATGGCATGTGGAGGATGGCAATGACTCTCCACCCTCCTGCCACCCACAGGCCCTGCAGCTGCAGCGAAGGACCAAGGTGATGGCCAAGTGTATCTCTCCAAGTGCTGGGTACAGTGGTAGCACCAATGTGCTCATTGTGGGTGCAGGTTGGTAGTGGAGTTATGAGGGGCAGGGTGGGAGATGGGGCTGGAGAGACGTGGTCCCTGGCCCATGGGCCCCTCCCCTCAGGTGCAGCTGGCCTGGTGTGTGCAGAGACGCTGCGGCAGGAGGGCTTCTCCGACCGGATCGTCCTGTGCACGCTAGACCGGCATCTTCCCTATGACCGTCCCAAGCTCAGCAAGGTAGGGGGCGGGGCAAGTAGGGACCCTACCCCTCTCAGTCAAGCCCAGTTTGAGCCTTGCTTGTCACCCCATGGGGGTCTGGCCAGCTACCCTCTCTGCTTATGCTAGGCCTGTGCCTGGTGCCCCCAAAAAATCTAAGTTTTTTTTTCCTCGTTGTTGTTTTTTGAGACAGGGTCTTGCTCTGTCACCCGGGCTGGAGTGCAGTGGCTCCATCTCAGCTCACGGCAACTTCCACCTTCTGGGTTCAAACAATTTTCATGCTTCAGCCTCTAGAGTAGCTGGGATTACGTGTGCACCACCACACCTGGCGAATGTTTTGAATTTTTAGTAGAGTTGGGGGTTTTGCCATGTTGCCCAGAACTCCTGAGTTCAGGCAATCCACCTGCCTCGGCCTCCCAAAGTGCTAGAATTACAGGCATGTGCCACCAGGCCTGGCTTTTCTTTTTTTGAGACAGGGTCTTGCTCTGTCACCCAGGCTGCAGTACAGTGCCTGTCTCACAGCTCACTGCAGCATCAACCTCCAACTCCCGGGCTCAAACGATCCTCCCACCTCAGCCTCCCGGGTAGCTGAGACTACAGGCGTGCACCACCATGCCTGGCTAATATTTTGTATGTTTTGTAGAGACAAGGTTTTGTCATGTTACCCAGGCTGGCTTTGAACTCCTGGGCTCAAGTGATCCTCCTGCCTGAGACTCCCAAGTGTTGGGATTACAGGTCTGAGTCACTGTGCCTGGCCAGATCTGGGTTTGCTGAGTTCTGTCCTGCAGCCCCTGTGCCTGGGGCTGGCCCCACCTTCCCTGGGTGCCAGGGTCTTCTGCTGTAAACTGGCTCCTCTCAAGCCGGCTGTCTCCTGCAGTCACTGGACACACAGCCTGAGCAGCTGGCCCTGAGGCCCAAGGAGTTTTTCCGAGCCTATGGCATCGAGGTGCTCACCGAGGCTCAGGTACAGGGTCAGGGAACAGGCCCCAGGGAGGGAAGGCGGGAACCCTGAGGTTATGTGGGCCCCTGGGGTGGGTGGTCGGTGCTCTTCCTGGCCCACCTGGGAGGTGCCCCAGCCTTGGGAGACAGCAATGAGCTGCTTCTCAATTGGTCCTGGGCACACACAGAGCCCCAGGGTGTGCAGAAATGAATGATCGAGGCTGGATAGGAGAGCCTGGTACGACTTGGGAGGGCAAGGAGGGTTTGAAGGGAAGGTGACGTCTGAAGCTTAAAGAACAAAGCTCAGGTGGCAGGATCTGCTCCAGCGGGGGCTTCTCAGAAGCTGTGGCTGGGCTCTGGGTATACGACAGGACCCGGGAGTGGGCAGTGAGGTCCAGGCCCATGCCCAAGCTTACGCTCTGCCTGGTGTGGGTTGCAGGTGGTCACAGTGGACGTGAGAAACAAGAAGGTCATGTTCAAGGATGGTTTCAAGCTGGAGTATAGCAAGCTACTGCTGGCACCAGGGAGCAGGTAGAAGGGTCTCCCTCTTACCCTTCACTGGATACCGGGCAGGCCACTGGCCTGGATGGGGCTGGGGCTGCCTGGAGGCCTTCACTGATGCTGCCATGTCTCAGCCCCAAGACTCTGAGCTGCAAAGGCAAAGAGGTGGAGAACGTGTTCACCATCCGGACTCCAGAGGATGCCAATCGCGTGGTGAGGCTGGCCCGAGGTCGCAATGTGGTTGTCGTAGGAGCCGGCTTCCTGGGTGAGAGGTAGTGGGCGGTGGGGATGGTGGTGGTCAGGTCATCATGGACAGTTCCAAGGAAGTTCTGGCTCAGGGAGGTGGAGGGTACCAGCCTGCCACCCCCTGCCCACCACCAGGGATGGAGGTGGCTGCTTACCTGACGGAGAAGGCCCACTCTGTGTCTGTGGTGGAGCTGGAGGAGACGCCCTTCCGGAGGTTCCTCGGGGAGCGCGTAGGTCGTGCCCTCATGAAGGTGAGCCCACCCTAGTACCCAGCGCCCCAGAGCCCTGGGGCCCAGCCCGGCCTCTAGCTGGGCTCTCATCCACCGCCCACCTGCCCATTTGCCCTGACAGATGTTTGAGAACAACCGGGTGAAGTTCTACATGCAGACGGAGGTGTCGGAGCTGCGGGCCCAGGAGGGAAAGGTGGGCCCTTCTCCCTTCTCCCTGTTGCTTCCTGTCCTCTGTCTCCTAGCCTGGGAGCTGGGTCCACCTGTTTACCCACCAACTCCCCACAGCTGAAGGAGGTTGTGTTGAAGAGCAGCAAGGTCGTGCGGGCTGACGTCTGCGTGGTGGGCATTGGTGAGTGGCCGTGCGGGCGGGCGGGCGTGAACCAGCACAGTCGTCTGCACATGCTCACATGTGAGCTTGCATTAGTCCCTTCCCCTCCCAGAGCCTCAGTTTCCACCACATGTGTCAAATGGGGACCCCAACTGCCCCCACTTCACAGAGCTGTTGGGGAAGGTGTGTTCCGGGCTCAGCCCAGGCCTGGCACAGAGGATGCTCCCAGTGCCTGCAGCCCAGTAACACTCCTCTCCATGCCCTGCGAGAGTTGACAGACAAGCCTTGAATTGGCTCCTGCTTCAGCTGAGGTGCCAATCTGGGGAGGGGCTGACCTGGGAGGTGGCCTGCAGGGGCTGAGGAGGTATGGCATGCTGCCCCCCGCTTAAGGGCATCGTGGAACACTTCTGGGAGGAGGCAATACCTGAGGTCTTTCGGGAGGCACTGGGGTCTGTGGGAGGCCGGGTAGTGGGCCAGGGTGCATGAAGGCCCCAGGTGGGCAGCCCCTGGATGATCAGTCTGGGGCTGGTACACCACATGCAGGGTGTGGGGTGTGGAGGGTGACTATGCAGAAGGGAAGGACGGGGGAGCAGACACAGGCCTCCGTCTGGTCAGGTGCGGTGCCCGCCACCGGCTTCCTGAGGCAGAGCGGCATCGGTCTGGATTCCCGAGGCTTCATCCCTGTCAACAAGGTGGGGCGGATGGCGCTGGATGGGGAGGGCCTGGTCTTGGCTGGGTGTGTCAGGAGGTTCAGGTCAGGGCCCCTATAGCACCCGTGGAGCCCTGGGCCCTCTCTCTACAGATGATGCAGACCAATGTCCCAGGCGTGTTCGCAGCTGGTGATGCCGTCACCTTCCCCCTTGCCTGGAGGAACAATCGGAAAGTGAACATTCCACACTGGCAGATGGCTCATGCTCAGGGTATGGCCAGTCCCGAGGTACGTGGAGGGGTGGGAGGGAGTCTCAGGGCCTCAGTGTCCCCACGCCCATGCCTCAGTTGCCGACCTTGGGTCCTGGACACTGTGTTAGGCATCAAAGCTCTGATGTGGGTTCTCTGGCCAACCTCATCCTGGTGATCCAGCCAGCACACAGAGTGACACCCCATTGAGCCAGCCACAGCTTCTCAACCTCAGTTTTCCTTCTGCTAGTCTCTCCCTTTTTGTTCTCAAGGACATATATTCTGCAGAATTCCTAATCAACCTGGGGAGGGAGGGAGGGATTGAATGGGTCATCTTCATACTTCATGCCTCTGTTTCCCTTGGGCCACTCACCTGTCTCTGTGAACTCAGTTGCTTCATGTAGGTCCCCAGGGTGGCATCTAAGCCCAGGAACCTGGGCTCAGTGGAGCCACTGTGCTTTCTGAAGAATAGCTTTCCCCTCCTCATGTTTGCTGTCCACTAAGTCCCCCAAGCCTTGCCCACGGTGCACACCTGGTCTGGGACCCTAAGCTGCAGATGCCATCACATTAGCTGCTCCACTTCCTCAGAGAGCACTGCCAGACTTGCAGCCTGGGACAAGGGACTTCTCTGCACCCACCTCCCCTTCCCTCTGCCTGTACACCTGAGGGTTTGCAGCTCGAAATCCCACTCCTGGTACCAATTTCTGTCCGAGTACAAAGTCTAAAGTTGTTGCTAGGTTGTAAGTAACCAAGGCTACTTGTCAGCCGAGTATAATTAGGGTTTAACTGGGAGAGTTTAGGAGACTTTGAAGTACATCCAATACAGGGGTCTACTGGGGCCTCATAGGCTGTGCATGACAGCCAGCCACCCCCACAGCCCTTCAGGGCCTTTCCCCTCACTGTTGGCTTGCATCATCTGAGGCTTCCAGTGGGGACCACCCACACTGGTCTTTTTGAGGCCTTGTGCATGGCTGTCATCTGTGCCTCCCTGCCTACTTATGTCCCATTCTCCTCCCTCTTCAGACCTGATGTGTCTGATTAGGTGTCTCTGTGCACAGCTGAAATGGTGGAGTAGTCCCCTAACCCCGAGAAACAGACCTTCCAGAGGCAGGGCACTTTATTCAGCTTCTCTAGGGAAGCAATCAAGTGGCTAGCTTTCAGTCAGGTGTTCCCCTGCACCAGTCAGCTGCAGGTGCAAGTGGGCAGTGGGGCTGAACAATGAGGTCTCTTGACCTCTGGGGAGACCAGGAGGAGGAGCCACACGTGTCAGGGGTCCCCACAGCATCAGGGGCAGGTATTGTGGGAGTGGTAGGGGCGAGAGTCGGGGTTTTCATGGCCCTGGGTCCCGCAGGGCGCGTGGCAGCCCAGAACATGCTGGCACAGGAGGCGGAGATCAGCACCGTGCCCTACCTCTGGACCGCCATGTTCGGCAAGAGTCTGCGCTACACGGGTAACGCCGTGGCCTCGGATGGGGGCGGGACCGAGGGTATTAGGGGAGGGGCTTGGGCGTGGGGCGGGGCTGGAAACCTAGGGGCAGGGCTATGACCGCAATAAGGGGAGGCCGGTAAAAACTCGCTAGGGGCGAGGCTAGGAACCACCTAAAAGGACGTACGGAGCAGGGCCTGGGTGGGGTTAGGAGGGGATCCTGTGACGTCTCCTTCCCTTCCCCGGCTCACGTGGGTGCCACCCACCTGCCCGGCCCACAGGCTATGGAGAAGGCTTCGACGACGTCATCATCCAGGGAGATCTGGAGGAGCTGAAGTTTGTGGCTTTTTACACTAAGTGAGAGCATCAAGATGCAGTGTGGGCGCGAAGCAGCGGGAGCTCAGTCGGGAAGGGGGATTCATCCCAGGCAAAATCCCAGAAAACTGCCCAGCCCTGAGCCCTGCTAAAGACTGCTGGAGCTTCCCTAGGAAAGTCTGAAGCTTGTGCATGGTCAAGCCGCAATGTGCAAAGCAGGGAAGGCTGGGTGCATTTCCTGTTGCCCTGGGCTAGGTCCTTCCCTGGGCCTCAGATGGACAGCAGTGCATCAGGGTTTTCAAAAAGGGGCTACTGCCTGGCAGTCCTCAGGCTTGGCCATCCTCTCCCTGCAGAAGCGACGAGGTGATCGCCGTGGCCAGCATGAACTACGATCCTATCGTGTCTAAGGTTGCTGAGGTGCTGGCCTCAGGCCGTGCCATCCGGAAGCGGGAAGTGGAGTGAGTGTGGGTGTGGGAGGCCTGGACGGGGGAGTAGTTCCCTGGAGGACTGGCTAAGCTGCCCATGACGGCCAGCTACCCCGACAGCCTTCCGGGGCTTTTCCCCTCACTGTTGGTTTGCATCACCTGAGGCTTCCAGTACTACAGGGAGGTATGGGGCAAGGATTAAGGTTTTGGAGTAGGCTGGTTATGTGCTTACAGTGGATGGAAGGGATAGGGGTGTGTATCCCCCCGCAAGGCCAGTGCTGTGGGGAGGGGTCGGGGCCCAATGCATGGGCGATCACCAGGCCTGGGACACCTAACTGGATGTGGTTGTGCTGAGCCTGATAGAAGCTAGATGGGAAACACAGCTAGTGATGCCCTGGGTATACCCTTCAAAGAGATGTTGGGTGGTTCTAGGGGTCACTCAACACCAGCCAGTTCCCTCATCCTGGCGTGGTGCCAATGAGATTCACCCTCTGGGAGGGACTGGGGACAGCCTGGAGGCCACTGGGGGGCTATGAGACAGGGACAAGCTTCAAGCTGGAAACAATGGAGGACCAGAAGGGGACATGATAAATGACATGCTCTCTCCCTGGCCTTCTGTTTCTCTCTCTTGCCTTCGTGAAGGCTGTTTGTGCTGCACAGCAAGTACGTGTCCTTCATGTTGACCGTTCTGAGCCTTTTCCATCTCAGCCCAGACCCTCCACCCAATGGTCTATCTCCATCTATCCAAGTACACCTCCCTGCTGGGCACCAGAGTCTGGCACAGAACAGACCCCCTGCTGTCCTCAAGGGCCAGCTGCTCTGGGTGCCCAGAGTGGAGAGGCTTTTTTTCTGTCCTGACCCCTCTTCCCCTCATTCTTGCAGGACTGGCGACATGTCTTGGCTTACGGGGAAAGGATCCTGAGCTCACATGCAGTAGACTTGGGCAGGCACGGGGTGGGGTGCGGGGGCACCAGGGGCAGAGGCCAAGCCTTGGGGGCAGGTGCCAATCTCCAGTCCCAGGATCCCCCAGGTCAGAACCTGAGCCCTCCCAGTGCTGGCCTTCAGCCACCTGACTCCCCTCCAGGGAGGCCTCTGCAGCCTCCAGAAGATGCTCAACCCTCAAGGCCTCTGCTGCCACTGACAGCTGGCACTAGAGGCAGGACAGGCCCTGTCTCTTCTCCTTCTGTTGGGACTGGTCCCCTGAAGGACCCAACAACATGTTAGACATAACTGTAAAATTAAAACGCACACATTTGCAGATTTGTATGACTCCCAGCGTTAATTGGGCCAACAGGCATAGGGCCAGACCACAGGGAAACAGGCACAATCACACAATACTAGGTGCAACACCAAGGAAATTTGGCCTGTGAACTCCCAGAGGAGGTAGCAACTGATTCTGCGCCCCCTGCCCTCCCACATCTCTCTCCCGCTCTGCGATCAGGGAAGGCTTTTTGCTTTTGGCTCTGAATGTTGAAGGAAGGGTACTACAGGTAGAAGGGACGACACGCCCAAAGGTCTTGAGATAGTAAGTGCTCCTTCAGAGGTGGCTCATGCTTGACACTTTGGGGCATTTGACCACTTAGGGCCATGGGAGCTGTGTCCTGAGACAGACCCCATGCCTTTCATAGCTGCGGCATTCTCAATTCCCATGTCGAAGGTGAAGCAGCGGAGGCCCTGCTAAGTAGGAGTGAAAATCCAGAGGCTCCTCGCCGCGTGGTCTCCCAGTCAATAAGAACGCCAAGGAATGAGGGGAAATGCGGGGGGTCAAGGCTGGGGGCGCTAGCAGCAAAGGGAGCGTTGAGCCGCCTGCAGAGGCCGCTGCGAGCCCGGAAGCCTCCCTGTAAGATCCCAACTGCGGCGGACAATCTAGGCCAGAGTCACGCCCAGACACAGGGCATGCCGGGAACTGCGAGCCCACCGCGGGTCTTCGGGCGGCGTGGGCCTGGGAGGCACCGGGGCAGAGCAGTCCCGAGGCGTTGGGGACGGGACACCGCATTCACTAGAAGGGACAGCCCAGCGCCAGGCCCCAGAAAGTCCCACGCTTGCCGCGCGGGAACCCAACCCTGCGCTCGCCCGCGGTCTCTTGGCCAGCCCTACGGTCGTCTGGAAGAGCGAAAAGCCGCAAGTGCGGCGCTGGCCGGAAGTGCCGCGCCGTGAGCGCAGGGCTCGCCGGGAAATGTGGTTTCTCTAGGCGGCCCGGGGCGGTGGCCGCAAGTTCTGCAGGCAGCGCGGCGGATCCGGCGTGGACCCGGGATGGCTGGACCGGGCAGCACTGGGGGCCAGATCGGGGCTGGGGGCCTGGCAGGCGGTGCGCGGTCTAAGGTAGCCCCGAGCGTGGACTTCGACCACAGCTGCTCGGACAGTGTGGAGTACCTGACGCTCAACTTCGGGCCCTTCGAAACAGTGCATCGCTGGCGGCGCCTCCCGCCCTGCGACGAATTCGTGGGTGCTCGGTACGGTGGGCTTCAGTGGGTCCTGAGGGCAGGAGGGGCGACCTGCAAGGGTCCCATCCGGGGGTGGGTTCTGGTACCTGGGGGTGGTGCTGTACAGGACTCTGTTCAGGGCAGGGGAGAGGGTTCTGAGGGAGTTCCAGAGCCCGATGACCCCGGGCAGGGTACTAGAACTAAGCTGTGTTTGTGGATATTGGGCTGGGGTCCCAGGTGCTCTGAACTGGGGTGAGGAGTCCAGAGAGTCCTGGAGCCGTGTCAGGGGTCCTCACTTGCAGGATGATTGGTGTTATCTTAGCAGTTATGGATCTTAGCAGTTGAGAGATGATATCGAATTTCTGTGGCAGCTTTCCTGCTTAGTCCCATTCCTTGGGTGCCCCCCAGGAGGGTCCTGTCCTCACCTCCCTGCACTCCTTTCTTTCCAGGCGCAGCAAGCACACAGTGGTGGCCTATAAAGATGCCATTTACGTATTTGGTGGAGACAATGGGTGAGTGAGTCTGAGCATCAGTGTTTGGACCAGGTAGGGAGAAGTACTGTGGTCAGGGACTGGGCCTGTCCAGCTCCATCACTGTCCTTTCAGAGGTTAGCTAGCACCTCTAAGCCTCAGTTTCCCCATCTGTGAGGTTCCTTGCACTCACTTCCCTGGTGGTGAGAATTAATTGAAATCCTGCGCTCGCCGGGCGCGGTGGCTCAAGCCTGTAATCCCAGCACTTTGGGAGGCCGAGGCGGGTGGATCACGAGGTCAAGAGATCGAGACCATCCTGGTCAACCTGGTGAAACCCCGTCTCTACTAAAGGTGCAAAAAAAATTAGCTGGGCATGGTGGCGCGTGCCTGTAATCCCAGCTACTCCGGAGGCTGAGGCAGGAGAATTGCCTGAACCCAGGAGGCGGAGGTTGCGGTGAGCCGAGATCGCGCCATTGCACTCCAGCCTGGGTAACAAGAGCGAAACTCCGTCTCAAAAAAAAAAAAAAAAAAAAAAAAAAGAAATCCTGCACTCATGGTCCTCAGCACAGCTTCCAGTGGGTGGCACATGCTCAGTATGTGGAAACGTCTCTCTTCTTCTGAGTAGACACAGCCTTGAAAGAAACACAACCTCTTTTCGGCCAGCCCTGAGAGGCACTTTTTTTCCCCTGGGCCTCATCTGGTATGGAGGACACAGTTTTATTTATTTCATGCAGTTTTCATTTTTTTGCGAAGGTTTTCCCACATTGCTGCAAACATCAGGCAGCAACCTGATGTTTTATTGGTGGGCACACCTCCTTTGACATGAACTGTCTCCAGTTAAGTTGTGGCTGGTTTCCTTATGCAGACAGTGGATTATTTGCACATGACCAGTTGTGCCCATGTGTCCTAGCCCTGCCTCTCAGCCCCAGGACCTGGCGTGAAGCCCTGGCAGGGCTGGCCTCTTACTGGTTCTGCAGCTTGGTCCTCTGCAGTCCTCCCTGGGGAGCTGGCTTGGAGATGGTGGGGTAGTCTGGACCCCACCAGGGTCTGCAGACTGGGCAGAAGAGCCTCCCTGGGCATGGCCTTGGCGTCAAGCCTGTCTTCCTGCCACTCTCTTTCCCCAGGTGTAGCTGGTGGGACCCATTTACAAGTGCAAGTCAGAGCATGCTCCTCCTTGGCTTATCCTCCTGTGACGTCTCCCTGCCTCTCTGAGTAAAAGCCCAACCTCATGAGAGTCCGCTGCTCCTCTGCCCTCAGTCGCTTACTGCATTGGGGCTGTACAGGCTGTCTTGCTATGTTTGGATTGTACCAAGTGCCCCCCCTGCTCAGGCCTGTGCACTACCCGTTCTCTCCCCTCACCTTCCTGCCTCTCCTCTGATGCTTCTTGTGACTGAGGCCTTCCTTGGCCATCTGGACCACCGGAGACCACTGCGTCCCCTTCATGCCTCTTACCATCTTCATTTGTTCCTGAGGCATACAGATGTTGGTTATTATCCATCTCTTCAGTCAAGGCAGGGACTGTGCTCCTTTTACCACTGTGTCCTAGCATCTAGAAAACTTAATAAATGTTTGTCAAATGAAGGAATGAAATAAAGCAGAGGCATCTACCCACAGGCGTTTACTGGAGCCTTAATGAGAACCCTCCAAACCAGAAAAGGCTTTGGTGTCCAGTGCAGGGCAGCAAGTGGGAAATGGGGCACCTTCATCCTCAAGAGTGTCCTGAGCAGGTAGTTTCTGTGACAGCGGTGTAGCAATAAGCAGAAACAGTTTTGCTGGAATGTGACAAAGAAATAGGATACAAATTTGTCTCTCTTTGTAAAGCCTGTCTTAGTACAAAGAAAGATGGCCTGCTGTGGCGTGTGGGGCAAGTGAGGGAGGGAGGGGAAGTGTTATAGTCACACCACTAGCTTCTAGGCTCCTGGCTTCCTGGCTGCATTGCCTCAGACACAGCCTTTGAACCACTAGGCTTTGTCGCCATCTGTGAAATGGAGGTGGGAGCACACCCAGTGGTGCGGACTGAGACGGTGAGGGGACACCCAGCATAGGCTGGGCATGAGGGGGCACTGGGCTCCTGTCAGTTTGCCCTTCTTCCCCAGGGCTGGGTAGTAACATGCCAGCCGGTCCTGTCAGGTGGTGCAATGGCCAGTGGATTTGTTTTTCTATTTAATTGTGTCTTTAACATGATTATTACATTGGCTTTTGCAATAAAGAAGTGCAGTGGCTCACACCTGTCATCCCAGCACTTTGGGAGGCTGAAGTGGGAAGATTGCTTGAGGCCAGGCATTCAAGACCAGCCTGGGCAGTAAAGCAAGACTTCATCTCAGAGGCTCAAGCAATTCTCCTGCTTTAGCCTCCTGAGTAGCTGGGATTATAGGCGCCTGTCACCATGCCCAGCTAATTTTTGTATTTTTAGTAGAGGTGGGGTTTCACCATGTTGGCAAGGCTGGTCTTGAACTCCTGACCTCAAGTGATCCACCTCCTTGGCCTCCCAAAGTAGTGCTGGGATTACAGGTGTCAGCCACCTAGCCCAGCCCGTTGTCTCTCTCTCTCTTTTTTTTTTTTTTGAGACAGTCTCACTCTCTGCCAGGCTGGAGTGCAGTGGCATGATCTTGGCTCACTGCAACCTCTGTCTCCTGGGCTCCATCAATTCTGCCTCAGCCTCCTGAGTAGCTGGGATTACAGGCGTGTGCCATCACACCCAGCTAATTTTTGTATTTTTAGTGGAGACGGGGTTTCACCATGTTGGTCAGGCTGGTCTTGAACTCCTGACCTTAGGTAATCTGTTTACTTTGGCCTCCCAAAGTGCTGGGATTATAGGCATGAGCCACCATGCCCAGCCTTTAAAAAAAAGATTTTTTTTTAATTTAATTTTTCTTTTTTTTTTGAGACGGAGTTTTGCTCTTGTTACCCAGGCTGGAGTGCAATGGCGCGATCTCGGCTCACCACAACCTCCGCCTCCTGGGTTCAGGCAATTCTCCTGCTCAGCCTCCTGAGTAGCTGGGATTACAGGCACGGGCCACCATACCCAGCTAATTTTTTATTTTTTATTTTTAGTAGACACGGGGTTTCAGCATGTTGACCAGGATGGTCTTGATCTCTTGACCTCGTGATCCACCCGCCTCAGCCTCCCGAAGTGCTGGGATTACAGGCTTGAGCCACCGCGCCCAGCTTTTTTTTTTTTTTTTTTTTTTTACAGAGATGGGGTTTCACCCTGTTGGCCAGGCTGGTCTTGAACTACTGACCTCGTGATCCACCCATCTCGGCCTCCCAAAGTGCTGGGATTACAGGCGTGAGCCACCGTGCCCGGCCTTTAAAAATTTTTTTAAAGAAGTGGCAGGAAGATCAGAGAGTCGCAAAGGGCCTCCCC